CTTAAATGTAAATGGACTAAATGCTCCAATTAAAAGACACAGACTGGCAAACTGGATAAAGTCAAGACCCATCTCAGTCTGCTGTATTCAGGAGACCCATCTCACATGCAGAGACATACATAGGCTCAAAATAAAGGGATGGAAGAAGATTTACCAAGCAAATGGAGAACACAAAAAAGCGGGGTTGCAATACTAGTCTCTGATAAAACAGACTTTGCTTTCATCAAAGATCAAAAGAGACAAAGAAGGCCATTACCTAATGGTAAAGGGATCAATTCAACAGGAAGAGATAACTATCCTAAATATATATGCACCCAATACAGAGCAGATTCATAAGCAAGTCCTTAGAGACTTACAAAAGAGACTTAGACTCCCATACAATAATAATGGGAGACTTAACTATCCTAAATATATATGCACCCAATACAGGAGCACCCAGATTCATAAAGCAAGTCCTTAGAGACTTACAAAGAGACTTAGACTCCCATACAATAATAATGGGAGACTTCAACACTCCACTGTCAACATTAGACAGATCAACGAGACAGAAAGTTAACAAGGATATCCAGGAATTGAACTCATCTCTGCAGCAAGCAGACCTAATAGACATCTATAGAACTCTCCACCCCAAATCAACAGAATATACATTCTTCTCAGCACCACATCGTACTTACTCCAAAATTGACCACGTAATTGGAAGTAAAGCACTCCTCAGCAAATGTACAAGAACAGAAATTATAACAAACTGTCTCTCAGACCACAGTGCAATCAAACTAGAACTCAGGACTAAGAAACTCAATCAAAACCGCTCAACTACATGGAAACTGAACAACCTGCTCCTGAATGACTACTGGGTACATAACGAAATGAAGGCAGAGATAAAGATGTTCTTTGAAACCAATGAGAACAAAGACACAACATACCAGAATCTCTGGGACACATTTAAAGCAGTGTGTAGAGGGAAATTTATAGCACTAAATGCCCACAAGAGAAAGCAGGAAAGATCTAAAATTGACACCCTAACATCGCAATTAAAAGAACTAGAGAAGCAAGAGCAAACACATTCGAAAGCTAGCAGAAGGCAAGAAATAACTAAGATCAGAGCAGAACTGAAGGAGATAGAGACACAAAAAACCCTCCAAAAAATCAATGAATCCAGGAGTTGGTTTTTTGAAAAGATCAACAAAATTGACAGACCACTAGCAAGACTAATAAAGAAGAAAAGAGAGAAGAATCAAATCGACGCAATTAAAAATGATAAAGGGATTATCACCACCGACCCCACAGAAATACAAACTACCATCAGAGAATACTATAAACACCTCTACGCAAATAAACTGGAAAATCTAGAAGAAATGGATAATTTCCTGGACACTTACACTCTTCCAAGACTAAACCAGGAAGAAGTTGAATCCCTGAATAGACCAATAGCAGGCTCTGAAATTGAGGCAATAATTAATAGCCTACCAACCAAAAAAAGTCCAGGACCAGATGGATTCACAGCTGAATTCTACCAGAGGTACAAGGAGGAGTTGGTACCATTCCTTCTGAAACTATTCCAATCAATAGAAAAAGAGGGAATCCTCCCTAACTCATTTTATGAGGCCAACATCATCCTGATACCAAAGCCTGGCAGAGACACAACAAAAAAAGAGAATTTTAGACCAATATCCCTGATGAACATCGATGCAAAAATCCTCAATAAAATACTGGCAAACCGGATTCAGCAACACATCAAAAAGCTTATCCACCATGATCAAGTGGGCTTCATCCCTGGGATGCAAGGCTGGTTCAACATTCGCAAATCAATAAACATAATCCAGCATATAAACAGAACCAAAGACAAGAACCACATGATTATCTCAATAGATGCAGAAAAGGCTTTTGACAAAATTCAACAGCCCTTCATGCTAAAAACGCTCAATAAATTCGGTATTGATGGAACGTACCTCAAAATAATAAGAGCTATTTATGACAAACCCACAGCCAATATCATACTGAATGGGCAAAAACTGGAAAAATTCCCTTTGAAAACTGGCACAAGACAGGGATGCCCTCTCTCACCACTCCTATTCAACATAGTGTTGGAAGTTCTGGCTAGGGCAATCAGGCAAGAGAAAGAAATCAAGGGGATTCAGTTAGGAAAAGAAGAAGTCAAATTGTCCCTGTTTGCAGATGACATGATTGTATATTTAGAAAACCCCATTGTCTCAGCCCAAAATCTCCTTAAGCTGATAAGCAACTTCAGCAAAGTCTCAGGATACAAAATTAATGTGCAAAAATCACAAGCATTCTTATACACCAGTAACAGACAAACAGAGAGCCAAATCAGGAATGAACTTCCATTCACAATTGCTTCAAAGAGAATAAAATACCTAGGAATCCAACTTACAAGGGATGTAAAGGACCTCTTCAAGGAGAACTACAAACCACTGCTCAGTGAAATCAAAGAGGACACAAACAAATGGAAGAACATACCATGCTCATGAATAGGAAGAATCAATATCGTGAAAATGGCCATACTGCCCAAGGTAATTTATAGATTCAATGCCATCCCCATCAAGCTACCAATGAGCTTCTTCACAGAATTGGAAAAAACTGCTTTAAAGTTCATATGGAACCAAAAAAGAGCCCGCATCTCCAAGACAATCCTAAGTCAAAAGAACAAAGCTGGAGGCATCACGCTACCTGACTTCAAACTATACTACCAGGCTACAGTAACCAAAACAGCATGGTACTGGTACCAAAACAGAGATATAGACCAATGGAACAGAACAGAGTCCTCAGAAATAATACCACACATCTACAGCCATCTGATCTTTGACAAACCTGAGAGAAACAAGAAATGGGGAAAGGATTCCCTATTTAATAAATGGTGCTGGGATAATTGGCTAGCCATAAGTAGAAAGCTGTAACTGGATCCTTTCCTTACTCCTTATACGAAAATTAATTCAAGATGGATTAGAGACTTAAATGTTAGACCTAATACCATAAAAATCCTAGAGGAAAACCTAGGTAGTACCATTCAGGACATAGGCATGGGCAAAGACTTCATGTCTAAAACACCAAAAGCAATGGCAGCAAAAGCCAAAATTGACAAATGGGATCTCATTAAACTAAAGAGCTTTTGCACAGCAAAAGAAACCACCATCAGAGTGAACAGGCAACCTACAGAATGGGAGAAAATTTTTGCAATCTACTCATCTGACAAAGGGCTAATATCCAGAACCTACAAAGAACTCAAACAAATTTACAAGAAAAAAACAACCCCATCAAAAAGTGGGCAAAGGATATGAACAGACATTTCTCAAAAGAAGACATTTATACAGCCAACAGACACATGAAAAAATGCTCATCATCACTGGCCATCAGAGAAATGCAAATCAAAACCACAATGAGATACCATTTCACACCAGTTAGAATGGCGATCATTCAAAAGTCAGGAAACAACAGGTGCTGGAGAGGATGTGGAGAAATAGAACACTTTTACACTGTTGGTGGGATTGTAAACTAGTTCAACCATTGTGGAAAACAGTATGGCGATTCCTCAAGGATCTAGAACTAGATGTACCATATGACCCAGCCATCCCATTACTGGGTATATACCCAAAGGATTATAAATTATGCTGCTATAAAGACACATGCACACGTATGTTTATTGCAGCACTATTCACAATAGCAAAGACTTGGAATCAACCCAAATGTCCATCAGTGACAGATTGGATTAAGAAAATGTGGCACATATACACCATGGAATACAATGCAGCCATAAAAAAGGATGAGTTTGTGTCCTTTGTAGGGACATGGATGCAGCTGGAAACCATCATTCTTAGCAAACTATCACAAGAACAGAAAACCAAACACCGCATGTTCTCACTCGTAGGTGGGAACTGAACAATGAGATCACTTGGACTCGGGAAGGGGAACATCACACACCGGGGCCTATCATGGGGAGGGGGGAGGGGGGAGGGATTGCATTGGGAGTTATACCTGATGTAAATGACGAGTTGATGGGTGCAGCACACCAACATGGCACAAGTATACATATGTAACAAACCTGGACGTTGTGCACATGTACCCTACAACTTAAAGTATAATAATAATAAATAAATTTTAAAAAAAAATTTAAAAAAAATAAATTAATTAATTAATTAATGGATGGGCACATAACTCAGAACCTATAGGACACAAAAAACAGTTTTCTGGGGACATTTAAAAAATTCCCTTGCTCTCCCAGAAACGATCTAAGCTTGCTTTCTCTGTATGGAGGTAGGCAAAGCACAGGTACTCCATGAGCTAGCCTTAAGTTAAAGCTGGTATCATCTGGAAGGCAAAATTGAGAAGTGGGAAGAAGCAGAATCTTTGATTACACCATGTAACATCTAAGCCATATGGACCCTAAAACTTCCATCCTTCCTCCAAATTTCCCTTTTATTATTTAAGTGAACTTGCAAGGATTTTCTTCCCCTTGCAACTGGAAACATCTGAATATATCCAAGATGCAGACTCCTGATGTATAACACACAAACTTGAAACTGTTCAACAGGTAAGTCCAAACTAAGGTTAAATCCATATTCTTAATAGAAGTCATTGTTGTGTGTGCTGACTCTGAGGCTGCAACTATTCATGAGCCATGTTACAAGAGCATGTACCCATAATTTCACAACTTTATAAGAAATGATGATGTAAAAATAGCTATAAATGGGTCAATATATATTCCAGTTTGTTTAGGGCAGTCACAATTTACTCTTGTTGTCCTGATATAATTATGAATAGGAGGACCCCATTCACTCTCAAGTGTCCCAGTTTACACAGTTACCCTATCTCTAGAGCATGTTTTTGGATTTGAATATAATTATCTTTAGAAAAATAACACTAACCCATGGAAATGCCTAGAGACCTCTAAAAGATATAAGTGAATTCAATCTTTAATCCTTGTGATTAGTTTTAGAAAGAAGTGGTGCCAGGGAAAATGTGCCAATAAAGATTCAACAACCATGTATCATTTTAAATTTTAAATATATTATTGTAATGTCCTATCTACTTAACTGCTGCTATGAAGGTGGACACTCAGGGTCACACAGACCCTCATTTATAAGAAGAATGACACAGTTCTTATGAAGACAGAGCAGGGAGTAAGATATGAAAGCACTGGCAGGCTCTACATTAAATATATATTTATTCTACAATCTCCCACCATATCTAAAATACCTCTAAAGTCCAAACTCATTTATTTGGGTTTTAATTTCTTCTGTAGTCCTCTGTTAAACTGGACTGGTACCACACAGCTCATTAATGACAATACCTGATCAGAAGGGAGCTGGTTTCTGGAACCAAGGCCCCCCAGGACAGAAGCCAGATGAAGTCAGGAAGGGATAAAAGTACCTGCTACTAAACAAGATGCTCTGCTTAGGGCATCCATGACTCTTCTTAGCATTTTAAGCAACACCCATCATTTGCACCTTTGTGTCTCTCAACAGAGAATTTTACCCCAGAAGTCATAAAATCTTGAAAAGCAATCATGACTAGTGCTTGTTTCTGCTCCAGTACTATTTTAAGACACATCTGTGTTCATTTGGCTTTATGATGCTGTGACTTTTATTCTAATACACACATTGATTTGATTAAACCAAGTTCAGGGATAAGGTAAATATACATCCTTGCTCCCGAAAACATCCAGGCACTTTCAGCGTCTTTCAGCACAGATGAGGTAGGGTTGGGGCTGCAATGTCATGCCTAACCTGGGCTTCAGATCTGGAACTAGTTCATGTGGAAAATGCAAATGAAACCTCTGAAGCAACGCTGTGAAAAACAAGAACATTTCCATCCGAGCCAACTGTTCTCCAAGACAATGTCTTCTCCCTAAACAGAAAAAGCAGATATAATAATTTTTTAAACCCACAATCTTTACCAAAATTAATGTCTAATATTTGGGTGTCATTCAGGAAATCTGGAATTTAAAGAAAATAAGAGGGAATTATGTTTATTAAAGGATTCTCTTAAATCTCAAAGAATAGGATTTGACACTTCAGCTCCCAGAACCCATACATTTACCTCCTTTTGTCAGACCATGGACTTTTGTAAGACTTTAGTTCCATCTCCCACTTCGCTCCCATGCTGTAACAGAGCCTAAGATATGCCACAAAAGATCTAATTTGAGGTGAGACATTTTGCTCAAGAAAAGTCCGCTTCATTTCAACTAAGTGTGTGTTCTTCCCCAATGAAGGGGAAGAGTTTCTAGTCCATCTTCCATGGGTCTTTTGTACCTTTTCACAGAAGAAGCAATATTTTCCTAGTTGAAGATGAAATACAATAACCAGAAGCCAAGATAGTGAGATTCTACTTTTACTTAAGTGACTGTATCTTTTCCCTCTCTGGGTTACTGGCTTCTCATTCCACAAGTTTTGATTATGGGCAAAAAAGCCACAGGCAAAAACAGTTTTAGAAGCAGCCAGGGGTTCTCAAAAGTCCATCTATAGTTGATAAATTAAGGCTTATATTAAGCAGAAACAGGTGTTAATTACTTCCAATTAAATCATTCTCTCCTGTAAGAATCAGTTCTGTGTTTTTAGAATTGGGATATTTAATTCTACAGGAGGATGCTTCAGATTAAGATGCTATATCTAATGAATTATCATTATCCTTTATTCTAAAATTACACCCCTGTGAAAGTTCTCTTACCTAGGGAAAAAGGAACCAAAGCTTCCTTCTTGGCAAAATATCCACTGCTGTCCAGAAATCGCTCAGGATGGAACACTTCTGGGTCTCTCCAGTACTTTTCATCAAAGTGTACAGAATAAAGATTTGTAATTACTGTTGTGCCTTTAGGAATGGAATAACCACGTACAACTGCATCTTCAGAGGTTGCATGGAAAATCCCTAATGGAACTATATTACAGAATCTTAAAACTTCATGCAAAACTGCCTCAGTATAAGGCATGTTGAATTTGTCGTCCCAAGAAGGCTTCCCATTGGGGCCCATAATTAAATCAATCTCTTTCTGAACTTGTCCTGTCAGAGAAAAAGTATTCAAGTTATTATGCAATTCTTAGAATTATAGCTAAAGTTATTTCCCTCTGGAATAAAATAAATGATAACCAATAACAAGCCAATAGGATATAGATACATCCAGATTCAGATTTTTTATTATCTGGGCATTCTGTTGAAATATATGCTATATATCTTGTACTAATAGTAGCCAGTGCTCTGGGTAGCTCTATTGTGAAAGACATAAGTAATAAGAATAAACATCAAACAAACCTAGAATTGGAGTAAGAAAAATAGTAAAGCATAAAATTAGTTATTTAAATTCTATTGGAGTTCAGGTTCCAGCTCTGCCACTTGCAGACACAGCGTTTTTTTCTCATTTATAAAATAAGCATAATAAGACCTCTTTCAGAGATTTTTTTTACATGAATTGAGATAATAGATTTGAAAACTCTTTTTTGTAGCTATTAAATATTTCTATCCTTGGCTGGCATAGCAGGAGTTCCTAAAGAAAATGTATTGTGCATGGCTAAGACTCAAAAACATGTATGAACCCTACATGTAAGGATGGACCCTGAGATCATCAAGAGAATCCTCACCTTGAATATTAGGATAAAGGGCCATGAAAAGAATCGCCCACCGTAGCACATTGGTTGTAGTTTCAGTTCCAGCAATGATGAGTTCACCCACTGAGAAAATTAGGTTTTCTTTGGAGAAAGTAGATGATGGGTCATTTTTACCTTGATCCATCTCATCTAAATAAGCATCAACAAAATGCTGAGGTAGCTGAGGCTTTCTGTTGACTGAAGCTTTTTCAATGAGTCTGGAGAGAAAATCATAGACCACAGATGCATTTCTAAACAGCTGTTGATGTTTTCCAAAAGGCAGGATGCCAATCCATGGAAAGGCATTATACAAGAAGACTGAGGCACTGGCAGCTAGTTCCACATTTTCACTAAATAACTCAATCATGTGCTGAAAATCGGTGTCTTCATAAGTGAATCGTTCTCCAAAAATGATCAGATTGGTTATGTTTGAAACAGCATTCGTTATTAATTGTTTAAAGTCAAAAGGTCTACCTTTGTAAGTTTCAATAGCATCAGTGAAAAATTTGGTTTCTTCCAAGATTTTAGATTCAAAAGACTTTTGGCCATATCCAAAATATCGAAAGCTGTTTACAGCTAATCGTCTGTGATCGACCCATCCTCGGCCATATCTGGAATTGAGTAGGCCTGAAAAAAAAATAAAAATATTGTATAATTCCTACTTCTCTGTATCTAAAAAATGAAAGGGAACAAAATTTCTTAATGGATGGTTAGTCATCCTTCTGAAAATTATACTCCTATATAACTACATGGTTGGGTCCTGTTCTCAGCAACTCATTAGCCAGAGTATTATAACAGATAAAGGTTTTCTACTCCTTATCTGTGGACTGGTAGAAAAGACCTATAATTGCACCACCACAAGAAGCTAGTCAGTCTTCTGTAATTTAACCTGGTGAAATAGGGCCAGGTTATATTATATTATTATCCAAATTTTACCATAAGCCTAATTTACCAAAGAGAAATGACCGCATGTTCAATGGGCAAAGTTTTATCTTAGACTAGGCAAACACCTAAAAAATCATCCTTCTAGGATTAGAAATTTTCTGCTTAAAAGAGAATGGATTTTAGAATATAAATTTCCTCCTGTTAAAGGGATATGGTAGACAATCAACTAACTATGACAGGGGTAAGGGAACTCTGAATGAGCTGTCAATATAGTCAAAATGCTGAAGTCAAAAGAAGGGCAAACATGAAGCTCAAACATTTCTAATGCTGATACTGCCTACCTTAAAATTTCAGAGTCTCCACAATGTATCTGCTGTTTTGATGTGGCTACTATGGAAAATTTCCCCCTTAAATTAATTCAACATCTTCAGTGCACATATTTATGTAATATGTACTTTACTCAAAATTTCACTCATTACTGGGACACGGTTGTACCTATGATAAATTTCACACTGATATGTGATTCCCCATGTTGGAGGTGGGGCATGGTGGGAACTGATTTGATCATAGGGGCAGATCCCTTATGAATGGTCTTACAACAGCCTCTTGGTGATAAGTGAGTTCATGCTCACTTAATGTGAGATCTGGTTGTTTAAAAGTTAAGGACCTCTCCCTACTCGCTCTGTTGCTCCCACTCTTGCCATATGACATGCTGGCTTTCCCCAATGCCTTCTGCCATGATTGTGAGCTTCAGGAGAAGCAGATGGCCTCAGCAGAAGCAGATGCCAGCACCATGCTTTCTATAAAGTGTACAGAACCATGAGCCAATTAAACCTCTTTTCTTTATAGGTTACCCAGCCTTGGGTATTTCTTTATAGCAATACAAAATGGACTAACACAACCCACAATGAAAAATGTCACATTCTCTTGTGTACATGAGGTACACACAAAATTTACATTCCAACAACTTATTGTGCAATAATTTTTGAATGTAGAGCTTATTAAAAAGTTACCATATGTGAGGGGGTCATTAGTGCTGTGTAGCAATCTTACATTCCCATAGTCCATTCTTTTTTCTATACTCCCAGATGACTATTCGTTCAACAAATATTCATTTAACATGTATTTGTGGAACACCTACTATGTTCCAGGCAATGTTCTAAGTGTCAGGAATGTATCAGGGAACAAAAGAAGCAAAGATCCCTACCCTCACAGAGCTTAGACACTAGTAGGAGAGACAGACAAAACAACAAATTATATAGCAAGTAAAAAGATATAGGGTAGTCAGCAAAAGGCTCACTGAGAAGATGACATTGAGTAAAGACTCACAGGAGATGAGGAAGTGAAACAAGCAAATACCTGAGGAAAGACCACTGTAGTTAGAAGGAACAGCTAGTGCAATGGTGCCAAGATGAAACCAGCCCTAGAGAAATATGTGCACATGGGATATATACACAAGAAGGTACAGAGGAGCACTGTTTATAATAACCCTACACTGGTCAAGCTGTGTGCCTGGGCATGACGCTGGGCCCACCCAAAGGGCAACTTTTTTCCATTCACACAGTGGGCTAATAGTGGCCATGATTTTCTACTTCCAAGGTCAGTACATAGTAACTTAAAGCAACATAATTTTCTACCTGGTGTTTAAAAATCTTAAGTCAAATGCTTTATGATGAAAATAGTCTAAACAATAAATTTACAGCTTTGAAAAATACTTTGTCTCAAATATTACTGTGATTGCATCATCTTTCATTTTCATCATCTTTTTAAAGGTCTATTATAATTGTGGCTTCTTATTTGGTCTAATTGCTTGTTTTTTATTTATATTACTGCTTTCAAGTATCATTATACCCTGGCCTGAGAATTCAGTCTTTTACAATTTGTGCTTTCTCTGCATTAGTTGATTTCCTTTGTGATGTAATATAGGAGTTTTATTTTTGTCTTTTCAATCAATGTCTTTAGTTTTTGCCTATGTAAGCAAGATATTGTTAAATTTTTCTTTGAAATTAAATGTGAAACTCAGAGAATTTAGGATACAACTTTAGTAAAAAGTCTTATACTATTAACTATTAAAACCAATGTATGTGATTTGAACATTCTATTTTAGGCTGTCTGTTGCTGCTTTCTTCTTACCGATTTTGTCAACTTTCAGTCTTTCCCCCTTGTTGAATATGGAATCTCCAACACTGATCAATACTAAACCATACAGAACACTAGTCCTTTACACAAGCCATGCAACTCTACACCTACTAATCACAGTGATTAGTAGTCAAGAAAGCTGCTTCAAGTTCTGTAAGCTTTTAAGTAAAACGATAGTAAAAATGTCATCAAGTACTCAAGACTGGGTTCAAAAGGGCACTTTGGATTCAAGTGCAAGTATGTGTTTATTCCTAACTTGTTTCACAAAACCTGCAGATGTTATTAGGTGCTGATTCTTTAAAAGTTTATAATACTTATTAGAGCTGAACCACAACAGAATTAGCAATGTACTGGTCTAAAATATGAAAGTAGTACAGCCTGAAAAGTCCTCAAATACCAGGTTCTATAAGTAAATAGTTTCTTATTAATCAGTACAAAATAATCCCAACTCTATGCACTAAAACTTAAAATAAGAAATGTGATTTAAAATAGCTTAGTAAATCACTAAATAGGTGCAAATAAACATACCTCCCATTTTTGTCATCTTCATGAATAAAGGAAGGCATGGTCTGTCTGCAAAAATTCCACTTTGATGAACAAGGCATTCCTTTACTACATCATAGCCATTTAGAACCACAGTTGATATGCCTCCAAGATCTAAACTGAAGATCTTTGAGAAGAGAGAAGAAAAACAACATTTAAATGGCAGAATGTATGGAGAAATATAACCATGGAAATCTACAAGTGGTAAGTGTGACTTTTCCAGGATTTGTTACGTCCCTGAAAATATAGGCAGTCATTACTCACCTGACAATGTTCAGAGTGCCCTCCTTCTATAAGCCATGCAAGACTGTGTGATTTCATTATGCCATTCAGTGCCTGAAGTCACAATCTTACCAACAGTATAATGAAAAGGGTACTGGATTTGGGTGGCCTGAGTCTAGTTTAAGGTTTGCCATTAAAGAGATATAAGACTCTGGGCAGAACACTTAACCTATTTGGGCTTCAGTATTGCCATAGAAAATATATTTGATATACATGCTCTCTTATGATTCATTCTACCTCAAAATGTTCAATGATATCTAGGAATCTCCTTCTATTTCCAAGATGAATGAGGCTAAGTGAGGGAGAGGATTGTCAAAGACCTGAGAGACAACTTTGAAATATAAACATATTGTAACTAAGCCCATTTGTATTTGGCTCTCTGTATTCCACAAAGGGAATGAACAGGGCTCTAAGGGAACCTAACCTTGGAGGAAAGGCATTTACCACATAGGTTAGGTAGTTGCCTCTCAGTTAAGGGGAAGGCAAAACAGAATCCATTCCATGCCTTGCTGGAGTTGTCTGCCCTGTGCCTCACCTCAGGTTCACTTACAATGTCACACCTCCTGTAGTCTATTCTAGCTAACCCAATGTAAGAGCCTAGTCCAGTGAGAGCACGATACTTCCTTAAGACTGCTTATTGCCATCCTTTCTGCATAGCTTTTTACAGCCAAAATACTGAGACAAGCCTTATCCCTGTGCAGACAAGTCAAAGAGATTTAGCCATGGCACACGCTACTTCAGAAGAAAACAGGAGGCTTAGCAGAGAACAAAAGTTCAGCAGAAAGTTATATCAGCAAAGGTCATGAGGACTGCCAAGTGTTAACAACTAACCAGTTGAGTAATGGGGCCACCAGAGTCTTTGGCATAAGGGTGGGCTCTGCCAACTGAGCAGTAGGTATATATCCAGAATATTGGGAAAAGAACATTGACTGCCTGCCATAAGCAGTGGTATTAGTCAAAAGTGACAACAGAAGTGTTCTAAGTAAAAGGGAATGGCTACCAGCTGAGCAAAGTGGGGACAATGCAGTAATGTAGTCCTATTAAAGGAAAGTCTCTTCGCAGAAGTGAACTTTAGCAGAGACAATAAAAAAGATGGCATTCCACAAGGATAGTAAAAGAACCATGAACTTAAAGTTGTGTCACTATGAAGGCAGAACAGAGGGCAAATGTATTTCAGGATAGCGCTTCAGGGTAGAACTTCAAACTATGGACACCAGGGACCATAAAAAGCAAGGAGGAGCCATGGTTTGAGAAAGTTGTTACACAATCCACCTTTACTCAAGAATCTGAAATAGTCCTGTATTTGAGGGTAGAACTGGAGAAATTTTTACTTGAACTAATATGTATTCCTGTATACACTGTTTTCAAGGACTTTGGTAAAGGTTTGTAACTCAAATTGTGAAAACTTATCCTTAAACTGCTTTGATCTATGGAAGGGTACAAGATTAGCTTATATATTATTTGATCTATTCAATAATTTTTAGTGCCAATTATGGGCTAATTATAATGCTGGCAGAGATGTAAAGAGGAATACACAAAACATTTTCCTTGCCTTCTTCTAGATCACTCTGTGATCTCCAAGTCTCTTTCCCTCTCCCAAACCAGCCCTACTCATAATTTTTCACTCTCCCAGTTAATGACCACTGCATACATCCTTCAAGTTGTTGAGGCCCAGAACTTTGCAGTCACCCACACTGACTCATTATTTTCTTCCAAACTCCACATCCAACTGCTCAGCAGTTATGCTGTTCCTACTTTCAGAATATAAACAGAATCAGACAATTTATTATAACCTGCAGGTGACCAATCTAAGTCACCTGCATTTCTCCCTTATAACAACAATCTCCTAACTGGCCTCCTTAATTTCATCCTTGTCTTTTTACAGCTAATTCTCAACATGGCATTCTCTTGCTTTATGGCCTTTGTTCTTGCTCTTCTCTTAGTCTAGAATGTTCTTCCTTTTCATATTCCTATAGCTTGCTCCTTCATTTCCTTTAAGTCTTTGTTCAGATGCTATCTTTGTGGTGAGACTGTTCTGATTAAGCAATTTAAAATCTGACCCACTAACATTCTCCATTCCCTTACCCTAATTTAGTTTACTTCCTGCTCTGTACTCTTTGAACATATTATATAATTTACTTAATTGTGTTTATGTATATTGTCTGTCTTCCCCCCACTAGAATATAAGCTACATAAGGGCAGGAATCTCTGTTTTGGTCACTGCTATATCTCTAGCACCTAGGACAGTGCACAGCATATGACAATAGAAATAGATGTTGAATTAATGAATAGTTGTAGAGATATACATTTACGCATATTATTATAACATCATGGGTTAAGTGCTAATAACAGACAAATGTGCAAAGTGCTGTTGATGAAAACCATTAAGTGACTGCCACACTTTTCAACCTTTGCTTGGTTTGTTCCCTCATTTTGAATGCTTCCCTTGACTGCCATACTATCATAACCATACCAACTCTTTAGGGACGATCCTCCATGATGCCTTTCTTGGGGCATTCTTTTTCTCTCTGCTTTGAACCACACATGGGAGTTTAGAAGCTCCCATGGCACTTATTTAACACTATCTTGGACCAGAAACATTCATATTCTTGTCCTCTGCCTGCCTGCTAAATTATAAATAACTCCCTAGGAGCAGTGATTTCATCTTTTTCATCTTTGAATCCTTACACAGAATCTCATTCAGTGCCATGCATAAAGTTCTTAATAAATGCTGTAAAAATAAATAAATACGCTGTCAATTCTACTTGCCTTAATGGAATAATTTTATTGTCCTTAAGTCCATTACCTGAAAATAATCTGATAAAGCCACTTGTATTGGCTTTGCTAGCCAGGGAATGCCTCTCTAAATCTAGACTAAGATTAAAGTTACTGCAGAAATTTAAACATTCAGAATGAATCTCCAAGGAAATGGTAATTTTCAGTGTGATATACTTCTATATAAGATTGCCTTTAAAATGAATATATAAGTCCTGAGGACTGGCTGTTTACCTTTCAAGAATCACAAAGCAGAACTGAATTCACAGATTAACACAAAGGCGGGTATCACCTGAAGTGACAGTCCTAAGTAATTTTAAAGTCCAGTGTTTTTTGAGTTTTTGTTTTTGTTTTTTTTTCTGTGAGCATACATCTCAAATTTAAAAGATAGTGGGAAACTAAGATTTTATTTAGAAATAAGTCCTAGGAACAACTTTTCATAACCTTTCGGAATTACAGGAGGGAATAGTCTTCTTCCACTTCCAAAAAAAGGTATAGTATTTTAACAATTTATACCAACTTTGAGACTTTGTCAGAATTGGAATATATCTCTAAAATAATGGGAGATCTTTAGAGATGTTTCACACCAGGATAAAGATCAAATGCTGCTGTAGCCTAGAGTTAATATGTTTGGTGGTTATCAACTAAACCTAAGGCATAGTGAGGCAAACAACGTCCATCTACTCTTTGATGCACATTTTCATTTTTGCTCCTTTCAGTTTTTCCTCTGCCCCACTGCAGCTAGTAACAGTTTAGTCCTATTTCATGTGTAGTCAAGAGCTTTCTCCGTAAAGAACCATGGTTCCCTCAAAAGTGGTACCAGCAATAAAACGAGCTGCTTATGCCCAATTCTTATCGATTGAACCGATCTAAATATCTCAAGACGGCAGTCTAGTACGTTTATAATTTGTAACCTATGATAGGGGACTTAGACAACCCCCTGCCCAAAATAAATATTCATAGTAATACAGAGTGTCTTTCAGTTCAAATACTTATATAAGAAACGTTTAATTCCCTTTTCTGTGAGAAACCATTTCAAATAACTTGTTTAAAAATACTTTCAAACTTGGAGGTCGAACAAACCTGTTCTGGGTATAGAAACTAATAACATAGGCCGGGCGCGGTGGCTCACGCCTCTAATCCGAGCACTTTGGGAGGCCAAGGCGGGCGGATCACAAGGTCAGGAGATCGAGACCATCCTGGCTAACAGAGTGAAACCCCGTCTCTACTAAAAAATACAAAAAATTAGCCAGGCGTGGTGGCGGGCGCCTGTGGTCCCAGCTACTCGGGAGGCTGAGGCAGGAGAATGGCGTGAACCTGGGAGGCGGAGCTTGCAGTGAGCCGAGATGGCGTCACTGCACTCCAGCCTGGATGACAGAGCGAGACTCATCTCAAAAAAAAAAAAAAAAAAAAAGGAAAAAAAAAAGAAACTAATAACATATACAATAACCAAGAACACTTGAGTAGCACTTTACTGTTTTCCGTTGTTATTCTCACTAACGAGATGAAAAAAAAACTAAGACTCAGAACAGGGGTCAAGTTTTGTCTGGCAGAAGACCCGATCTCTAGTCCTACGCTTTCACATTTTGAATAAACTCAATTCTGGGAGAACTGTAGGCTGGAAAATAAGATCTAAGAATTATACATACTTTTGTTACCTCGTCCAGCTTACCTTTAACAACGTAAACTATTAGTGAGTCGTGAAAGGAACGTAAACCATTAGTGACTTTCTATTCTAGAAACCTAGACCAATTTTTTTTTTTTTTTTTTTTTTTTTTTTTTTTTTTTTTTTTTTTTTTGAGAAGGAGTCTTGCTCAGTCGCCCAGGCTGGAGTGCAGTGGCGAGATAGCTCACTGCAAGCTCCTCCTCCCGGGTTCATACAATTTTTTTTTTTTTTTTTTTTTTTTTTTTTTTTTTTTTTTTTTTTTTTTTGGAGAAGGAGTCTTGCTCTGTCGCCCAGGCTGGAGTGCAGTGGCGAGATAGCTCACTGCAAGCTCCTCCTCCCGGGTTCATACAATTCTCCTGCCTCAACCTCCCAAGCACCTGGGACTATAGGCGCCCCCACTACGCCCGGCTAATTTTTTGTATTTTTTTAGTAGGGACGGGGTTTCACCGTGTTAGCCAGGGTGGTCTTGATCTGCTGACTTCGTGATCCGCCTGCCTGGGCCTCCCAAAGTGCTGGTATTACAGGCGTGAGCCACCGCGCCCGGGCACCTAGCCCAATTCTTGTAAAAATTGGTTTAAGTAAGGATTTAAGGTCAAACCTGAAATACCACAGTTGCCAAACATCCCTGTACTTTTCCTTCAAAACACTGACCACAGCCTGTGGTCGATAAAGAGATTAGTTTTCTCTCCCACTCATCTGCCAACTCCTTAAAAGGCTGTATCTGCCTTTTTCACCGCTAGCGTCAGGCCTGTAGTTGCATATAAATAAGTGTAATTCAAAACAAAACAGGTAAAGCTCTGGTCAGGACCCGTGGAAACTCCTGCCCCCTCCGGACTTCAGGACACCCACACACATGCGGGGGTCGCCTTTTCCGCTGCCAGTCACAAGGCATTTCCGTGCTGCTTTCTCCTCCGTAGATTGAGGAGGAGCTAAGTACCGACCTCACCGGCTGGTTGTGAGTTTTAAATGAGTCACCAAGTTGGCAGTGACAGTGGCACACAGAAGGCGCCTTTTAAGTATCTGCTAAGGGGCCGTTCCCAGCCAGTCAGAACGGCATTGCCATCTGTGCTGTGGGACCCCCGCAGCGGATTTTAGTCATCAATTCATTCACGCGTTCACAATCATTTCCCAGGGCCAGCTTCTCAATTAGGGGCGTTCCCCTGCGTTCTCCATTCTCACAGCAAACGCCTACACCAGTAGTTCATCGACTGCAAACACCGAAGAACCTGTTATTAATCATCTAGAATTTAGAACGCCTTAATTTTCCGACAAGCCGCGTACAGCTTCCACAGAGCTGCGAGGCCGACTCGCATGACGCCCGCCCTGAGGGCAGTGGTCCAACCTGGACCTGAAGTGGCTGCGCGGTCGGCGAGCCAAACGGCGCAGGCGCAGGAGCAAGAGCTCGAGCGGTAGCGGGAAAATCAGGCCTGGATCGCCTCGGGGCCTCGACCCCGAGCGGGTCACTGGCAGGGGCGGGGCTCCCCTTGCAGGGGGCACGGCGTCGAGGACTTCTCCCTTCCACAGCCTGGAAGCGGATGTCCCTTAACGGGCAGCCGGCATATGGAGAGGTCCCTATTACTCGGCTCACGAGCGGCCATAAGTCCAACCAGGAAGGCCCTGGCCAGCCCGGGCCAGTCTGGCGGCCCTCCCTGCCCGGGACCCGTCGGAGCAGTACCTCTCCGTACACCTGGCTCTGCTTTCTCATGTAGACATGGGGAAGCTCGGCTGAGGCGGCCAGGGAATAGATGTTGCCGATAAATGGCAGCCCCGGCGGCCCCGGAGGGAAGCCCATCGGCCTCCTCAGCTTCAGCAGCTGGCGGACCCCCAGCGCGAAAAGCAGCAAGAAGAGCGCGCCGCCGAGCGCCGCTGCGCCCTCTTCACCTCCCCAAAGTTTCCACATCTGCCCGAGCTGGGGGTGCGAACGCCACGGCCGCCTTGAGTCCCTGGCACTCCAGCCTCCAGCCCTGCCGTACTCCCATTGGCAGGATACTCTCAGGTCCCGCCCTAGCTCCGTGGCCATTGGCTGACTGAGTGAGCGCTCAGGTCCCCTCGGGACAACGACCCTCTAGCTCTGCGCGGCTCGGAGTCGGCTCTGCGGAGCGGGTAGCCGGTGCTACCCTTTGGAGGTGGCGCGGCTCTAGGCGGAGCAATGAGCCTGGAGGCCGTTTTCCAGAATGTTAACACCAGAATGTTAACACCAGAATGTTGACGAGGTGTCAGGACGGCCTCACTCACTGGGGTAGGCGGATCCTGCCTCTCTGGGGCCAGCCCTTTCTTAAAGTGTCTTTTTAAGTACCAGGTCTGCTTATGGAGAGACTAGGAAAACTGGAGAGGTGATCAACACTGCAGTCTTTAGCTGAACCTGATACTTTTCAGAATTTCCGGTAGAAAACTGACCCATCAGTAGTAAAAGAAAGTAATTTTACTGTTTTGTCCTGTTTTACTATTTTTCTCCTGTTAATGTATTTTTGTGTGTGATCTTTTAAGAATTGTGATGATTGAGCAGTTTATGTGATTAACTCAGTTTACCTATATTTGACCCCTCTCTGGTCTTTCCAAACTGATTACTTACTAGCAGTCACGGAACTCTTGTCTGCACTTGTTCACGGAGAGTATTTCCGTGTAATAGTAATTCAAGATTTCTGCCTCCACTGCCTGGAATTAAGCAACTGATTTCATATTATTCTTGCTAATTCTGTTTTTATTCCTGTTTTCTACTGGACAGTTCCTTGCAACACAGGACTTACTGGGTTTGGGACTCTTCTAACAGCTGCCCACTAATTGTGATTTAGAAGGGCATGAGTTTTATGGTCCTCGTTACCTTACGGCTCATTCACACAGCAAATATTAATTGAATGTCTACTATGTTCCCATGTCCTAAGCGATGGAGATACATAGGTGAATAAGAGCAACAAAATCCCACCCTTTCTAGAACTTACATTCTTATGAGAGGGAAGAGCAATAAAATGGAAATACAATAAATTTAGATAATCATCAGCAAACAAAAAGTGCGTTATAGAAAATGCCTGGTGGTTTGGGAGATATTTTAGCAAGCAAGGGCTGTCAAGGAAAGTCTTATTAGGACGATGACGTTGGAGCTGAGATCAACTGCTAAAGAGGTGTATTTGTTTCCTACCACTGTTGTAACAAATTACCCCCAATTTGATGGCTTAAAAACCACACAAATTTATTTTCTTACAGTTTTTGAGGTATGAAGTCCAAAGTGAGTCTTCCTGGGCTGACAGAGAGGTGTTAGTGGGACTTCATTCTTTCTAGAGACTGTAGGAGACATTCTATTTCCTTGTCTTTTTCAGCTTCTAGAGGCTGCCCACATTCCTTGACTTTCATCCCCATTCCTTCCTCTTCAAGGCCATTAATGTCAGTTCAGATCCTTCCAACATGGCTGTCTCAACGATCTACTTATAAGGATCGTTGTGATGATATTGGGCCCACCTGGATAATCCCTGACTCAGGGTCAGCTGATTAGCCCTTTAATTCCATCTGCAACCTTAATTCTTCTTGCCATGAAACCTAACATATTCACAGTTCTAGGGATTAGTATGTGGACATATGGGGGGAGGGGAGCATTATTCTGCCTACTATAGAAGGGAAATTTGAGGCAGATATGGGGGAAAATATTCCAAACAGAGGAAATATCAAGGGCAAAGGCATCATGTACTAAGCAAACCTTGTCCTCTGAGAGTGTTTCCAATTTCTCTACATCTCCCATACAAGGACACTGCGGAAGTCAGCAAGTTAGTCAGGGCTTTTAGTTTTTCTGTTTAACTGACTTGTGACCATCCCCAGGGGCTGAAGTTACCCCCCCAGGGCATGTGTCACAGGATCTCCAGCCACAGAATATCTACCTACTGCCTATTACAAATGCCTATTAAGAGATTCCTTAAAATTCTTATCAATCAATAATCTAATAAAATGAAAAAATAATTGTGAGAGATCGTTACTAAACTTGGTCTGTAATTTCTTACCAAAGGCCAGTGGAGATGACACAGGATGGATATTGGGACTGTGGGTGGGAGGCAATGCTGCTGAGGCACCAGGAGCTGGGGAAGATCACCTATGGGATGCCTGAGATCAACCCTGCCTTTGCAGCACCAGGGGGCTTACAGATTTTGGTCTGGCCACAGCCGTTATACCGTACAGGTACTTGCTTCAGGAGTGGGCCCCCTGCCATCATTTATTTTCAGAAAGGATTAATTTTCATTACAAAAATATCCTCCAATTCACTTAAATTAAGGAGCATTCCTTCTTTGGCATTCTTTCCCTGGCTACTGTAGCAGAGGAGAGCTGAGTTACCCCAAGGCAGCCATGTCTAACTGACAGCACTGATAAAATGTTACCCGCCCCACCCCACCCCAGCGCTCCTTGAAGGATAATAGGTGGGGGATTATCAGGAATAACTGTAAGTCTTTCAGGACACAGAGCCTTCCCTGTAACAGTTTATCATGTTCTCTCAGCTCAACAAAGATAAATCTCTCCCTTATTCCCCCTCTTTGCATTTGCTCTTTGAGTGATAGCAAACAATCAATAATGTTTGTCTATGGCTTTTATCATGACAGGAAAGTTTAGGGGAGCAGGAAGTTAAGTATTTCACTGTTTCATGGCTGAGATCTCATCTTCAGTACTCGGGGTGGAATGGGTGAACACCCTGTATAGGGCTTTGCCATTTATATGTGCAGAACAGTAATGGTTTTAACAGAGAACAGCAGTGCTGTGCCAGAATCAGAACCTCTTTCTGGGCCTTTGGGAACTGAACTAAAGCTCCAGGACTCATCCTGAGGGGCAGTATCTCCTGGGGTCCCTTTCTGTTCTTGAAAGGTTGCAGCCCTGGCCTGGGCCATCAGTGTTGTCCCAGAGAGCTCCCAACACAGAGTGATGCAATCAGCGCAAATGTGCCTCCTTTGCACGTTCCATTATGTGCACTCTCAGTGTGTTTCATCAGAATTGAAGGAAGTGAGAGTCAGAGGAAGTACCAAGCTGAGCCATATTGGAGCCTGAGCTAAAAGAAAAAAGTCAATAATACTTATCCTGCCTTATTAAAAATTTGATGTCTTGTTCATAATGGGTTTTTGCCTCAATTTTGATTTTAAAGTGTTGCATTAAAGTGTTATCTTGATCCTGAGCTTCTTGGAGCCCTCTTAAATTCTGTTCCCAAGGTGAATTCCTCACTTGCCTTATCCTAGTCCTTGTGCTCAGAGGTAGGGTACCCAAATGAAGACTTTGATTACAAAATGGTGTGTAGAAACTGGGTTTGTGCACTTGGATATTCATTATGCTCTTGGGAGCCAGGCACTGAGGTGGGGCTGGCAGACCAGTAGCACTTCTGGGTGAGATTAGGAACCTTATGAAAGTCTCCCTGTGACCACTTTAAAAAGTCCTCCCCACCCCACTTGCCTGAAGTTCAGTCTTTACAAATTAAATGATACGAATGGAACATTCCCTATAACAGGCTAGTTGGAAAATGCAAAATCTGGTGTCAGGAGAGTACAGTAATAGAAAGTTCCTAAAAATGCTTATACATGAATGAATTTAATCCCACATTTACAGGTAAGGCCTAATGGGAGATATGATGACATGGATTTATTGGAGGTGGTGGCATGGTGATGGTGGTGGTGGTGGGTGTTGGGACTTAAGAAGAGGATGCAGAAGGGGAAAGGAAGTTTTATGGAGAAATTTCTTTCCCTTCACAGTTTTTCCAAAGCCTAGATCAACTTAGAGAAATCACATTTCTCAGAACCAGGAGTTATTCCTGCCATTTCCTAGGGATACTCAGCCAACCAATCCTTGCCACTTCCTCCCATCCAGCTCCCCAGTGAGCCATCTTCTGTCATGGTATCTTGTATTTCTTTCCTTGTGTTACAAAAAAATAGAAATCTAAAAGTGCATGAACAATTCATGATCTTGTTGAAGACCCTCTTCCAAATGCAGTAACAGAGAGTCAGAGGAAGTTTAGTGTTCTGTCCAAGGTCACACAAGAGAGCACCAGTAGAACCAGAATTCTGGGCTCTGGACTTGCCATGTGTTCTTTGGGTCATTCACCACAAATGTATTGGGCACCTACTAGATTAGATGTTGGGGATATAATGGTGAGCAAAATCAGTCATGGTCCCTATGTTCCTGGGGTTTACAGTCTACGGGGGGATGCCAACACCAGTCAAATAATCACAAGTAAATTTATTATTTATGTTTTCAAGTATTACTATGTTTTCAAGATGCCAAACATTTCTGTTTTCTGAATTAAAGAAACAGTTCCACAAGTGTGCAAAACACAGGAAATGTGCTCAGTCTTGGGCGTCAGTAATTGTAGTCTGCACCAAACAACCAGCTTATACCCAGGGACTTCCTCATGATTGTGTTCATGGAAGATGTTACTACAATTCTTCCCTACCAACTGGTCTCATGTGGGACACTGAGTGAAGGGAAAGGAAAGTAATAAAATTCTCTATTTAAAATTCATGAATATCACTCAGAGGGACATTTAAGTCTTAATTTAAAGCTTTCTTCTGCTTTGCAAATGATTTTCATAAACATTCTTATATTGTGCTTCTGAAAACAGTAGATTTGAAGAGGCAAAGTAATAGTAGATTGAATTATTGTTAGAGATAGCCACACCAACAATTCTGGAGACATCTGACAATCTGATAATGAAAAAGGAAACAATAATTATAAAATACAGATGTAACAAACCAAAAAGCTGAGAAGTCTGAGATCATTTCGGGTACAGAATATCAATACCACACATCTCAAAGCCTGAGAACATCACGTGTATGACAACAGAACACATTAATTCATGTTCTTATTAAATGAACATCCTCATCAAAGAAGATTAAAATTATTTAAGAACATTCTAATTTAAGAGTACAGAGGAAGTATATATGTACTTTTGAAAGATTTGGCTACATTTCAAAAACAGAAAAAATTCCTAGCACTTGAATAATTTAACTTTGGTTATTTAGAAAATGTTCTTTGGGAGCCCTAATACCCTGATGATGATGAAGGAGGCCCCTAGCTTTGGCTTGAAAGTTTAGTGAGGATGCCTCTGGCCCCTCTCTAGTTGGTTTTACAGGTCAATGCTCTCAGAGGACACAAGAAGAGAGTCATCTGGCCTTTGCCTCTGAACCCCAAACAATTTTTAATCGTTGTGGAATGTAAGTTGAGAAATTCTTTAGTATCATTTGTGGAGGTTGTCCACCTCTCAGAGTGAACAACCTGGGCCTGTATCTGGGTACTGTGTCTTGGGTCATCATACTCAGATCGTGTTCTTCAACAACTTTGAAAATTATCTTCTGATCTTCAGAAGAGGCATCTGCAGATGGTTGGTGGTACAGAGGTTTATTTCTCTGGGGTTTTAGAGACTGGCATTTTAAGCATCAGAGAGAAACCAGAGCATTTTCTGGGCCT